GAAACCTCATCTTCTAGGAGAACAAGTAAGAGGCAGAATAATGTCGTAAATCCTAGGGCTGGATAAATATGGGGTGCATTAACAGGGTCTTCAGGAGGTCAGAATATTTATAAAACATGGAAAAACAGCCTCGTAGATACAATCTGCAAAGCCCTTCCTGTAATTGAAGTTAGTGGCAGATTATGGAGGAAGGATTTATGCATCTGGGCTCTTGCTCAGAAGCTGGGATTGCTTCCTAGCCTGGTCCTGCCAGTACCCAAAGGTCTGCATCCTAGAACTGCAGGTCTGAGTAGGGGCGAAGTGGGGTCTCAGCCCATGCCCACACACTGAAGCACAGGTGCCATCTGTTCCAGCTCCCACTAACTTACTTGGTAACTCTGTGCGAACCCTTTCTACATTCTTCTATGTCTATATCAGTGTGTGTAGGAAGCAGTCATCTGGATCCTGTTAAAGTGCAGATTCTGACTCAGTCATCTGGGATGGCAGCTGAGAGTACACTGTTAGCAAATTCCCAGGCCATGATGCTGGTCCATGGATCACTTTGACAAGCAAAGCTCAAGGTTATACCAATGTCTATGTCTTCTCCCTAAATTCAACTGGTTCTTACCTGCATACCACAATCCCCAGGATGATTACTGTTACAATTAGTTAAAAATATTTCAATTAGTTAAAAATATTATTATATTTAAATTGTTTTTCTTGAAATATTAATGCTTATTGCATGTAAATGGCTAATTATTTTGTATCTACAATCTAGTAATAGATTTATTTTGTATATTCTAAAAAACCCCAAAAAACTTAATGTATCTGTTTTAAATTAAAAAAGGAAAAAGAAAACATTATGCTAAAGGAAAGAAACTAGTCACAGAAGGCCACATATTGTATGATTCCATTTAAAAAAATGTCTAGAACCAGCAAATCACTAAGACAGAAATCATATCAGTGGTTGCCAGTGGCAAGGATGGAGAGTTGGAAAGTGACAGCTGACAAGTACAGGGTTTCTTTTTGGGGTGATAAAAATGTTCTGGAATTAGCCTAGCTGGTGTGGCTCAGTGGTTGGGCATTGACCTATGAACCAAGAGGTCCTTGGTTCAATTCCTGGTCAGAGCACATGCCTGGAGTTGCAGGCTCAATCCCTAAGGCAGGGCATGGAGGAGGCAGCCAATGGATGTTTGTCTCTCAATAATGTTTCTATCTCTCCCTCTCTCTTTAAAATCAATAAAAACATTTTTAAAAATGTTCTGGAATTAAAAAAAAAATTATAAATGACTGCTAGAGGCATGGCAATGTTAAGGCACAATGTGGGGGTTGGAGTGCATAAAGGTATCAAATTTGATCTTTTCCCTTGGGTAGCTTATTTATAATAGTGTCATGTAAAATGTAACTTCTCAATCTGTGAGAGTCAAGACAGCTATTAAAAAAATAAACACACACAGATATATGTGCTAAATGATTGTATGCACAGTCAGTAGCTAAAGATTAAAAGATAAAGATCAGTTGTGGGTTAGAGCACACACAAGGGTTGCAGGGACTAGAACTGAGTCATTACCAGTGGCCTTTGACCCTATTGCAGAAGACTGTTGATGAACTTTGTTTTGAAACTTCTCCCTTGCCCTCTAGGTTGACAATAGATTCTCTTGCCTTTCTGAGGACTTTTGTTTGCATCATTTATTCTCTTATTTTCCTTATGGTCTTTAATGAGCCACTTCTTCAGATTCAGTCTTCAATCTCTTATTTCCCTTTTTCTACCTTCCATCCTTTGTGTAAAAGGAGTTCTTTTCTCCCACAACTTCTTCCAAAGTCATGTGTCCAGTGCAAATGTTTCTTCTGAGCCACCGTCATCCGGCAACTCTGATTTGCTTCTACTCCTGACTTCTCTTTTTCTCCTATTCTTATATGCTTCTATTCTATTATAGTCTAGAAACAAACTAACCAGCCCTAGAGATCCATTAGTTCTTTGTAAAGCCACTGCAATGGCTGCAGACCTGATGGGTCTCATAAATCCCATTATTTATCTGATACGCTTGTTTGCTGCAATTCTTTTTTTAAATATTTTCCTAAAATACTATTTATCTTCATGTCTTGCTGCTTTAAAACCTTAATGATTTTTCTGCAACTATAGGATCAATATTAGGCTCCTGAGCCTGATATAATCTGGCATTCATCTGTTTGATTTTAGTTACCCAGATGACCCCTTTCTCCCAGAGGGCTATGTTTCCATTGTCCATACTTTGTTCATTCCTGCCTTGGTTTGCTCCATGCTCCTGACTGGGAACCTCTACCTTCCTCTGCCTCACTCATTTACCCCATACCCATTCTTCAAAGCCCAGGCCCTCTCAGAAATGCATTGTGACTGTTGGGTCTGGAGGGAGCGCTCCTTCTTCTGAATTCTTAGTCCTTATTGGAAGAACTAGTCACTTAATACCTAGTCTCATGTTTACTTATGTGGTTATTTATCTTTTCATAGCTTGTCTATATAGTCTCACCCTAATTATATCATATGTGCTCCTTGAGGGCACAAGAACCACATCTTGTTTTTCTTGCATTCTTCTCTGCCTTTACCACAACATGTAGACGCTGCTGAATCAATACTTGTTGAATGACTCTATGTTCCGATGACATTGTTTTGGAAGAATTTGCTGATCTAAGTTGGCATACTGCCCGTACCCCCAATGAAGAGTGCCTAATTACCTTAAATTTATCTGGGGATTATTACTGAACTACGGAATGCTACAAGCCAATCTCAAAAGCAGAAACCAGTGGGAAAGAATGGGATAGCAAAGAAGTACATTTAGATAGCACCATGGAAAATAAAACAGAATTATATTGTTCTGTGCATGCACACATGTATGTCACAGTTATTTACTCACCACTTTAAAAAATAATCTGGGAAAGTCATCTTAACCAGGGATGCACTTCATAATCACCTGGTAAGCTTTCCAAAATAGGAACACATGCCCGGGCTCCACACCAGCATGTCTGATTAAGTGTGGGGACTCAGGTGGGGTCTGGACATGCATATCTTAGGAGAAATATCCTGAATACTGATGACACACATCTCAGGTTAAGAAGCACTAATCTCTGAGAAGAGATGACTGCTGTTCAAATCTACTAAACAAGCAAGACAACACAACTTTGGAGCTTATAGATCTAGGGCCCCAATGGGAAGATTCTGTAGGTTTTTGTTTTTTGTTATGTAACTACTACTTTAGAAACCACAGCATCCCTCCAGGGGAATTGTATTTCATCTGTCAGCAGCATAGAATGCACCAAGATGCATGCCAAACAGTGCTTATAACCATCTGCTGGCATGTCCAATTTTGGGCACACCCATTTAACGCAGAAGGACTGAGTAGGAGAAGCTGTTCAGCAAGTAATGTGTTGAAACATTGACATGGTATTTTTTTTTTTTCTTCATGCTGATGTCAGTCATTTACAGCTGTGGTTTTTTTTTAGTGAATATTTCTTCCAGAAGCATTTCAATCTTTATTGGAAATTGAAACAGATTTTTCAGGAGGGAGTAAAGATTTATAAGTCATGTGAGACATTTTAGGAGAAACTGGCTCTGAATGGGAGCCATTTAACTGGGGGATCAGGCTTTGAGGCTTCACCTTCCTCCTCTAACAATATCTAGATAACATAAAGGTAAATATCTGAAATGAAGATATCTGCAGGGCAACACAGGAATGGGCAGAGATAAATTTCCAGAATAAAATGCTTTTCTCTCAATTGTGCCCATTATTTTTGCATATTGTGCAGTAGATTTAATCGCACATATCTGGGAGTAAATATTATGTGTGGCTTTCATTTCAGCAGTCTCTATTTGATTGGACAGATAAATCTCCCACATGATAACCTGAAAACGTAGAAGAAGGAATAGTCATGCTTCACAGATTAGTGATAATTTATTTGGATTGAAGTTTGATCCGTGCTATAAGATGCGGATCCAAAATTGTCTTTTGTTTAGGAATTTCATTTTAGACTTGATGCTGATTAAAATTATCCCCAAATGCTTTTGTATCTGTATGCTTCTGTTAGTGGTAGCACAATGACCAAAATCTGGGAACCTTTTGAAATTGTGTCTTCATTTCTGCAAAGAAGGACTGTGCTCTTCTTAATTTGTGATTCCATTGAACTCAGCATGAGAAATGAGTGGCTTCACCAGTTGCCTTCATGCCACCAATTCGGTCACTGCTTTTATTTGTTAGCTGTTTTATTTGGACAAATCAGCAGTGCTGTCTGTGACTTCAATACGAAAGTGGAGCCTGATAATTGAGGGGTGAAAAGGATCGGGACTGTACAGGAAGCAACAAGATGAGTCTTACATCCTTTATTTCAGATCAGTCTTTGATCTGAGGAAATTGTCTGGTTTTGATAACTCAGTCACCTGTTTGAAAAAAAAAAATCAACTGCATATTTTTAAACTGCTTTAGAATTGTCTATATTCCGCACTAGTGATGGACAAAATTTCCCAAAAACAATTCAGTTTTGATTATTTTCTTCATTAGATCATGACGTGAGCATCTTTTACAAAGTTCACCATCACAGTCATGCTGGAGATTGATGTGGTTTCAGAACAAAAGAATAAGAAAAGCGATGTCTTCATTGTATCAGTACTGGGACACACGATCGGCAGTGTGTCGATGCTGATCATAAGTCTGAAAAAACATTCATCGTAAATTTGGGGACAACCACTTAGGTCTTGAATAGTATCAGGTTGAGTTGTTTTGTTGCTATGAGGGTGGTGATTAATTTTCATTAATACAAAATCATTCCTAGGTTGGTGAACAATTTCCATCATCCAAAGTACATAGTTACTCTGGCCTCATTATTGTTCAGATGTGGTGCTGAAGGCTATTCTTGACTATTTCCAGGGGTTTTAAATCGGTGGGTTGTAGCCAGATCAGTTTTGACATTGGAACAGGAGTCAGGGAACTTTTCCTGCAAATGGCCAGAAAGGAAATATATTAGGCCACACGAGCCTGGTGACAATTACAACTCTGCAAATGTGCATGGCTGGTTTTCAATAAAACTTTATTTATGGATCCTGAAGTTTGAAGTCATCATTTTCAAGTGACATGAAGCATTATTCTTAATTTTTTCTCCCAGCAATTTAAACATTTTACAACTATTCTTAACTCACGGGCTGTACAAAAACAGATGGCTTTGGCTGCCGAGCCATCATTTGCTAAGTGCTTTAGGATTGCAGTAATATGAACAGTTGCTTCAGAGTTTCAAGAAAGAGAATGTGTTCTTGTAGCACTAGCACAGTAAGCCATTGCTCAGAGTGTTGCCATGTAATAGAAGCATTATGACAGTTCTGTAATTAGTGTGCCCCATCTCTAATATTCCTGAGACATGGTGCCTTAATGCAGTTTCATTTGGCTCAATCAAGCCCTCCCAGAACTTATTAGTATTCTTAGGCAGTGTCGCTCTCACTACAAACGTTATGAAGATTGATGAACCCGACTATAGGCAGTCTATTCTTTTGCCTTGAATAAGCTCTTAAAACCTTTCTCCCTCTTTCCCACTCCAGACCTACCATCTGTAGCAAGTTAACTCGGATTTTCCAATTAAATCAAGCCTCTCGCAGTCCTTGATGGCATATGGCTGGGCCTCTAATCCATGTGTACTGGCTAATTAAGGAAAACATAGTTTTTCTAAAAATATCAGAGAGGCTGTACTTTGGTCAAGCTGGCTGCATACTCAGTATTGTTGGTCAGTTTTCTTTAAATATTCGTTTCTTAAGGCTCTGTAGCCCGGCAGTCCGAGTTCCAATAGTTTTGTCCAACATGGAGTTGGAGAGTGATGAAAAGGACAGAGGATAGCCCTGGCCAGGTGGCTCAGTTGGTTGGAATGTCGTCCTGTACACCAAAAGGTTGTAGGTTCAGTTCCAGTCAGGGTACATACCAAGGTTGCAGGGTCAATCCCCAGTCGGGGCATATGTGGGATGCAGTTTCTCTCTCACATCGATGTTTCTCTCTCTCCCATCCTTCCTCTCTCTCTAAAATTAATAAACATCTGCAGGTGAGGATGAAAGAGAGAGAGAAAAAGAAAGGATAGAGTAAATTGAAGAATAACTGAATTTATTTAGGCCTAATATTCTTATTTAATTCTCGTCTGCCATATTTTGAATTTATACATAATTTCTCTTTGTTGTTTAATCTATTTTAAAAGTTATTATTTAGGACAAAATTATGAAAATAATTTTAATCAACTTTGATTATAGGAGATATATAAAATGTTTGTAAAATTTAGAGAAAAATCCTCCAAAGCCAACCAAGCAGAAATTAATACTTTAACCTTTTCTACTTATACAGGATTGTAGTCAACATATGTCCCCACACAAATACACATACATGCTCTGTATCTAAGTTTGGTGCCTGCCCTTCTCGAGACTTTTTTTTTTTATAGAACCCACCTCATCAGAGTGTCTGAAGAGGTCTATAGAAACATTATGTTTTATGCTTTGTCTTCTGGATCCATAAGTCTCTATTCTCTGAGTGGCAGTACAGTCAGTTGTGCTATTATATGATGTATACATTCCACAAAATTGCATAACAAAACAAAACAACACATGGCTTATGAGAAAAATGAGTCAGGATACAACATTCAAAAACTTCATCAGTGACATTTAAAAAAGAGTTAGGAACCTAGTAAAAACAGGAGTATAGTGTTACACAAGTTAAATGATTAAAAAATAGAGTTTACCTTAAAAAAAACAACAAAAAAATTTCTGATCTTTGCTTGTAAGTTGCTGTTAGACATTAGTTTGCTAGGGCTGCCATAACTAAATCCCACAGATGGGGAGGCTTAAACAACAGGAATTTGTTTCTCACAGTCTAGAATAGGGGTGTCGAACTCAATCAGAGAAGGGGCCAAAATCTAAAATCCAGCCTAAATCGTGGGCCGAATGGTTTACTGAACAGTCATAAACTGTCATTGTGATGGAAACGCAGCGGAGTGCAGTGATGACAGCGCGGTGCTGGCCACATTGCAAGGCCTGGCGGGACGGATTTGGCCCGAGGGCCTTGTGTTTGACACATGTGGTCTAGAAGCTGGAAATTCAAAATCAATGTATCACAGGGTTAGTTTCTCTTGACGCTTTTCTCATTGGCCACCTTCTCCCTGTGTCCTCACATAGTTTTTGCTCTGTGCATGCTCACCCTTGTTGTCCTTCTCATAAGGACACCAATCATATTGGACTAAGTCCCCAAACTTAGAATCTCATTTAACCTCAGTTGCTTCCATAAAGGCCCCATTTTTAAATACAATCACATAGGACTTCAGGGCTTCCATGTATGGACGTTGGGAGACACAATTCTGTCTATAACAGTACTGGAAGGGTTACAGCTCATAATTTCTATGAAGCGGAGAAAGGAAGACGATCCAACATTGGAGAGCAAGTTGTGACACCAGATGGGTGTGGCTCGTAGCACGTGTGAATTGAGGTGGCTTGGAGATGTTTGAGAGGGGTGTGTGTGTTTTGTGTATTCCTGCACTGCTCGGGTTGACTCAGTGTAGTTCTCTGCAGTTACCTAGAGCTTCTGGCAGATGAAATCACATACAAGCAATTATGAAATTCTTGTTATACTCACATAACACTGGAAGACATTCATGGTTTCACAACAAGCTTTGCAGGCGAGAATGGAACAGGGTAGTGGTGTGGTGGGGGAGCTCTGGAGCCTGGCAGTCCGAGTATCAGTCTTCTCTCTGGGAAAAACCTCTGGGGTATTTGGGACAGATATTTGCCCCCCCCCCCCCCCCCGTTTCAGTTTCTTTCTTTGTGAAATGGGGAGGTAGTCATTGTAGAGTTGCCATCTATGCAGTGTAGGAAAATGTGTGGCACACACAGGGGTGATGAATGTTAGGTACTGTCAACACCATCACACAGCCAGTTGTTAGTCAAGCTGGTGTAACAGGAGCAGCAGCCAAGAGCTAGTATTGTGTCAAAACCGTGCCCTGGCAGTGTGGCCCCCCCATAGGCACACTACCTGCCACAGGCAGCTCCGGTGTTTGTCATTTTGGGAGGAGAGATCCAAGGAGAACAGGTTCTCAATTTTAGATGAAGCTCTTTTTTTCTCTGGAACCCCAACGAGACAGAACCACGTGACCTTGGGGCGGGTGGGGTCACAGGGCTGTTAACGTGGGTTTTACTTACACACAAGAAAAAGATGCCAATCCCGTCTGAGTTCAGAGGGCCAGAGCCCTGGGCTTGCTGTTGTGCAGCGACGTGATAGAAGTGGGCGAGAAAGGGTGTCCCACGTCAGCAGGGACCCGTGCCCACTGTGCCGGCAGAGGCCAGGGTTTTTGAGGCATCACGTGAGAAATGTCAGAACACACAGTGAATGTCTTTGAGCCACCGTGGTTTAACATTTGCCAGGTTTGCCCTAACTGGTTTGGCTCAGTGGACAGAGCATTGGCCTGCGGACTCAAGAGTCCCAGGTTCTATTCCAGCCAGGGCCATGTATCTTGGTTGTGGGCACATACCCAGTAGGGAGTGTGCAGGAGGCGGCTGATCGATGTTTCTATCACTCTCCCTTCCTCTCTGTAAAAAAATCAATAAAATATATTTAATAAAAAAAATTGCCAGGTGATTCTGAGGAGGACACAGCTTCCCTCTGCCAGGAGGGAAAGGGAGCAAAGCGTGGAGTCCAGCATGGCTGGCTTCAGTAGAGCCACCTGTGCTAGAGCCAGGACAGTCTGATCAGCTGTGGGAGGGGCCAGAGTGGGAACTTGAGTTAAATGTAATATTTACTGGTTACCTCCTATGTGTTAAAGAGGCAACTGACCTTGAACAAATTTGAGGCTGGGAATCAAATGCACCTGGTTCATGTCTTGGCTCAAGCTATAGTACCCTTAGAGAGTAATTTAACTTTGCTAGGTCCCAGGGGCCTCCTCTGTAAAGGACAAATGACTCTTCCTCACAAGGTCATTTGGGAATTAAATGAGGGTTACATAGAATGTGGGTCTCTCCATGCCTGAGGCTGCAAAGTTGAATAAACAACTGTTTCTGACCTTGGACTCACAAGGGCAATTGATTCTCCTTATTAGTAAAGCTGGTCAAAACGTTGGATAGGGAGCTGTATAACCTGTGATACTTAGGTGATGTGACTTATGTCTAAGGCCTTTTCCTTATTGCCCTAGCCATGGAGCTTTCTGGGTCTTGTATCTTAATGTGCCATCCAGGGCACTAAATTTAGATAGTCGAGAAGGAAACACTTTGTTGCTTCCTCTTGGAAATCTGGTCCAGGTTGCTCTCTCTTTCTGTCCTTCTCTTTCCTCTGCCTCCTGCTGTTCCAGGGCCAGGGATTCTGCTTCCCTCTGGCTGTTTGCCCTCCTGTGATTAGCTCATGGCGGCTACATCCCTTGGCCAGGGGCAGACAGGAGCCCTAAGAGAATCCTCAGCCATTACTAATTTGACTGTAATTGTTTTAAAAGTTGGTGCAATGCACATGAACCCTGATGTTGAAATATAGTACCTACTCATTTGAGGGGTGAATGTTTGTGTATAAGGTGGTGGTAGTGGAGGGTGGGCATGTGGACAAAGTAGCAGGAGGCCCAGCCATTTCCCCTTTGGGAAGATTTGAGCAGATTCCAAGTGACTATTGGGGAAGTAGATCTTTGGGGTTTCTCTGTAGGCCTCCCCAAATTTAAATTCATTAGCATATGGGAAACTTAACTAAATACAATTAAGGCCAATTGCTTTCATTTTAAATGCAAGTCAAGCTGCTGGCAATGTCCATTGGGCTGTCTTGACTTGAGAGAATTTAAGAATTGTAGAAAAATGACTTTTAAGCCCACCTGGTGTGGCTCAGTGCCTGAGCATCGACCTATGAACCAGGAAATCAATGTTTGATTCCACATGCCTAGGTTGCAGGCTCGATGGGGGGCGTGCAGAAGGCGGCCGATCTTCCATTGTTGATATTTCTCTCTCTCTCTCTCCCTTTCCCTTCCTCTCTGAAATAAATAAAAAATATATTAAAAATTAAAAATATATTAAATGTGGACAGTATTTCTTATTTGGCCTATATACCATCTCATAGCAATCGCTATGTAGAATAGAGATTTTCAACTGGGGTCCACAAGAATTTTTAAAGTAAATAGTCAGGCAGTACCTGACTGTTTAGTCAGGGGCCCTGACCTCTTTTCCCTTAGGTTGTCAAAACAAAAAATTGACAACAGCAACACAACAATAGCCGTCCAGTGTGAATGAATCAAAATTATATCTATTTTTTTTTGCCCAAACAGCAAAAACATATTTTCGGTGTGCAGTAGAATTTTAGTAATTAGTTTATGTGTGTTGTGAGATGAAAAGGTTGAGGTTTGCTGATGTGGGAAGTTAATGATACTGTTTTTTGGAGACTACATTACAAGTGAGGTGATGGAGCACCGTGACATGCAGGTGAGCAGCAGAGTTGGCATTAAAGATTAGTGCACGAGTCTTGGACATTTCACTTAATACTTCAGGGTTCTGATAATATCTGTACCCCTTGTATTTAGCCACAGATATAGTGACATTTTGTATTTTCATCTTACATATAATGACATAACATTAGGGTTTCTTGTGATGTGCTGGACATGGAATGCTGGTGGGAGAATTAGATCCTAAGCAAGAAGGGGAAAACGGTGTTTACTGAGGTTATGTTGTATTCCGGATACGGTAATAGGACCTTTGTAGTTGATCCTCATTGCCAATGTTTGTAGTATGCTAAGTATTTAACACCTTTCGTACCCATGGAGACACCGAGGCAAAGAGAGATGGCATAACAACCCATGTCACACAGCTAGTAAGTGACAGAGTTGGGATTTGTACCCAAATCTGCCTAAATCTGGAGGCCTGTGTTATTTTAGCAGCACAGTGTTAGAGAAAGCTCATGAACATGGTATATTCCCACATTCAGGGCAAATATGGAAAGGGCGCTCTTTGGTGTTTTTTTGCACATCCTGGTCTCCTTTCTGTCTCTTGTTCCCCTGCAGTTTATGAGGGACAAGGATTCAATGTCGTGGCTTTCTCCTTGGCACACTGATTGCACTTTGAGTCATTCTCTACTAGTGCACTCGGAGACTTGCTATTTTTCACTCTTTGGATCTCTCTCTCTGCTCTAAGCTGTCCACTGCCTTGGCTGCTGGGACTGTCGTCTTCATCTTCTCTTCCCCACGGCTCAGCACAGTGCTGGTGCTCTGTAAACCCCAATAACTGTCTACTGAATGAATCAATTATTTGGATTAAGGACTGGATTGAACCTCTAGGGGCAAGAGGACTGAGTTTAATTAGAAGAAGCTCGTTTATTGTCTTTGAAATAGTCTTGGGAAGATTGAGGTGGGGAGGAAGGGCTTTCTGGAGGAGGAGGCACAGCGGTGTTTTTAGGGATGATTACATTGGCCAGGAGGAGAAAGACAGTGCGGTTGCCAGAGGCTCTCCAGGGAGTGGGAGTTGCCTGGGGAGAATGGTGGGTTTGAGGAACCTCAGTCAGCAGGACGGGTGGCCAGGAGAGGAAAAGCCGAGAGGTAGGTGAACTTGTTGCCAATCAAAGGCCCTGGGCATTTCTCCCCACCCTCTCCTCTCTGCATAGTTAGAGCCATCTGACCTGCTCTAAAATGTCCTCATTTTGCCTGCTTTCACAAAAACTCCATCTTTACCGACTGCTTGGCTTATTTAAGAATGGAATTGTGTTCTATTATCAGTGCCTCATACCAATGTCTGACTAAATTTGAACGCTTTCATTCTTTTGTTAGAAAAAACACTTGCTCATTGAACATAAATCTCTCACATAATAGAGATGATTCTGTGCAGGCACCTTCCTTGTGTGGTCTGCCTTCCAAATGTTATCGTATCTACTAAAAAGGATAATTCAGTGCATTGAATTGGCATGATGACCTCCTCCTCTTTATTCCCTACCCCCCACTCAAACATGCAAAAATTAAACATCCAAAGGAAAAAGAAAGAAATCGAAGTTAAATTCTCGCCTCCCTATTGGCTACACCAACTGGTGTCATATTTAAAAAAAAAAATTACATCAGGGCGTGAGACCCATGCTGGTATTAGGCCATCCACTTGGCCTCTGCAGTCAAGGTCCAGCTTTGAAAAACAAGCAAACCAGGGCACACAGTCAGGAAAGACTGTCCCAAAAAATCCAGAAAAAAGTCATGCACCCACAGGACTTGATTCAGTTCAAATTCCCAAATGGTGATGGAGGACCTTTATGTCGCAGGGGTAAGTGCGGAGGGATTTAAAGGTAAAAAGAACAAAATGGCTGTTCCCTGGTGCTCTTTAAAGGAGAGAAAGACACAAGGACTTAGAAAAAAGCTCTAGGCGCATCTAGGTGTCCTTGGTGACAAGGATGAGTCATCGTATTGTAATGAATTCTTATGGGCTAGCAAACTGAATTTTAGATAAACAGATCTAAGAATTGGTCAGTGTAGAGAACTTCTTGTAGATTATTTCCATGATGGATGTGGGGGGCAGAATTTATTTGGAAGTTTATAAAATATTGAATTTTGTTTGTGGAATTTTTATCTTCAGGAGAACATTGTGTATCTGGTGCTGTCCATGGAATAACAAGTGACCATGTTGAAATGGGATTGTGCCAGACCTTCCTAAGAGGAAGCATGTACCATGAAGCTTCACTGTGTTTGTGTCCTGGGTGCTAGTAAGAGTCACCAGGCCTGCACATTCTTTACTTGTGATGGCCCTTATTTGGTGCTTCTTCTCTGTAGAACCTTGCTTTCACCCGGAGCCATTATTGATCTTTCTTTCAGGTCTCCTTTCCTTCTCTGTGGTTAGAAGAATAGGATGGGAATGGGTGAGGGGCTATAGCAGCGTTAGGTGGAAGTGCTTTTCAGCTTACATCAGGTCCAACCCAGTGATCTGAAGGTTGGGATACTGTTTTCAGGAAAAGTAAATTCTCAATGTATGGGGAATGTGGTACATATCATGCTTTGTGAAATAAGGTTGAGAGGCTTAAACCTGTACCTGCAGCACTAGTTGGTAGGCCCATGCAGATCTCAAGAAGTAGCCAAGTACAGCATTTCCTCTAGTATTGTTCTTTATATGTGTTTTTCAGTGGAAACTCTTGTTGTTTTTTTGTTTTCTTTTTATTATTCATTAAGATTATAGTTTTCATCTATTTTCTCTCCCATTATTTATTTTAGTGGTAGAAATGTGTCCATCTTGAACTGATTTCGGTAGTTATTGATTTTCTGAAATAGGACTTGAACCTGTGGGCATGATTTCAATTTGATTCATTCAAAATAAAATATTGTTTTATAATGAGTTGTCAAGAGTTCACATGAAACCTAGCTTAACTCCTGGAGTATTAGAATCTAAAGCTCCTCTTGCTACATGATTCACAATGTTTTTATTTCTGTTTTTTCTTCTCCCAGAATTTATGTGGTTCAGTTAACATTTTTTTGAGTATTTACTACATGCTGGGTTTTATATCAGATACTACATGGAAATATAGAACTATATTTGATGGATAAACAACACTATTTCCTTACCCTCTAAAACTTAGTTTCCTTATCGGTAAAACTGAGCTAATAATCTAAAAAACATGATAGAATGAAATAAAATAATTCCCATAAAGCAGCTGGAATATGACAAACACATAGTAAGAACTCAAGAAAAAATTTTGATTGATTTGAATTTCTATATATTAGAGGCTGACAAAATGGATTGAATTTCCCTACCTAGTCAAGTATTATTTCCAGTTTTCTTAATACTCTAGGGGACTGCATTGCCATTATGCATTTTTTCTAGGTTTTATTTCCCAAATCTGAAGATGTAATTATTTGGTAGGTTTGAGGTGATGGCTTTTGTTGGAGGAAATAAAACTCGTTATTTAAATGTTTTCTTTCTTGCTTTAATAATATGGTTCTTTTGGAGGTCATTGAGAGCATAGCTTTCTGGCTTTCTGACTTTTAAAGTGGCATGTAATTTGTGACCACAATTTTATATGTCCAGATGCAGAATAAGGCCCTTGTAGTGAAACTAGAAGGTTTATATCTTAGGCAAAGAAGTCGGGGCTCACAGGACGCAGTGGGCATGAGAGGATAGAGCTGGCCCCTTATTTTTATATGTGTTTTTTCAGTGGAAACTCTTGGTTTTTGTTTACTTTTCATTATTCATTAAGATTATTTCTTTTCATTATTCATTAAGACCCTCATGCCCACTTGCTTAAGGCATGGATCAAAATAGTATTTCAGAATTAAAAGGGGGTCACAGAGTTGTTGTGAACATGTAAGGCACTCGTGCTTTTCAAGCACTTTCATAAATAGTAGCACTTATGCTGATGATCTTCAGTAGTAGCACTGTAATTATCACTAAGGCAAAGCAGGACCATCCCTGTGTAGACTCACTTCTTGAGGAAGTTCTAGTGTTTCCTAAGAATTTTATGAGAATCTATAAATATTGACTTCTTTTTGGCCTATCCCATTAGGTGGAGGTACCATGCTAGACTCCCCCTCTTGGCCTTTGCTTATCTGTCACCTCCCCGTCCCAGCTTCCCATCCCCAACCTAGAATGCCCTTTCCCCAGCCAGCTCATCTATTTGATGAATATATGATCTCAGTTCACCTCCATTTGGCAACTTGGGAACATTTATTGAATGACTAATTCATGTCAGGTACTGTGCTTAGTGTCTAGTTGAGAGCAAACCTGGAAACTGATCATAATAACCGGTGTGGTCTCATGTACTCATTGAAGGAGGCATCATACTCCTATTCTCCTTCCCCAAGTAGAACTGACAGTTTCCATTTTTGTGTACCTATTTCATAATAATGATAATAGTTCATTGCTCTTATTTATGTTTCTTTTTACCAGATAGTCTATAAGCTTCTTTAGGGCAAAGAGTTCATATTTCCTATGAATAACCAGCAGTTGGATTGTGTCTATG